AAGCTGTAAAATGCATGATCTCATGAATGAACTTGCTGTTAAAGTGGCAGGGGAGGGAAGCACAATAATAGATCGCAATACGACTGATTTTGATACAAAACGTCTTCTTCATGTATCTTTCGATTTTCATGTTGATTCGCTGGAATGGAAAATACTGACATCCTTGCTGGAATCACATAAGCTAAGGACTTTTCTTTCCGTAAGTCAAATGTGGGGGTGGGAGAAGTCATTCCATAAGTCATTTTGTGCTACAATTGCTTCAAATTTTAAGTCATTGCGTATGTTGAGTTTGAATAGATTGGAAATTACAAAATTGCCAAAATGTCTTAGGAAAATGAAACATTTAAGATATCTTGATCTTAGTGATAACCCATACATGAAGAGACTTCCAAATTGGATAGTAAAACTTCAAAATTTGGAAACACTAGATCTCTCTAGATGTATCTCGCTTGTGGAATTGCCTAGAGATATCAAGAAAATGAAAAACTTGAGGCATCTGATTTTGCAATATTGTGATAACTTGGCTCCGATTCCTCGTGGATTGGGTGTATTGACTTGTCTTCGTACTTTGAGTAAATTTGTTTTGAGCAAAAATAGTTCCATGTCCAAGGACAGTGCAGGGCTCAGTGAGTTGGGGAAGCTGAAAGATTTAAGAGGAAAGTTGGAGATCAGAAATTTGGGGTACAAGAAAGATATGGTGTCAGAATTGAATTATGATGGTGCAGTTTTGAAGGAGAAACGACATCTCTATTCGTTGACTTTACATTGGATGGGCATCGAAAGAGAAAATAGTGATGCGGTTGAGGAGGAGAGTGATGTAATTATTAAGTCAATGGAAGCGCTGCAGCCCCATCCAAGTCTAAAAGAGTTAATCCTGAAGTACTATATGGGTGCGAGGTTTGCGAGTTGGTTTCATTCTCTCACAAATATTGTTAATCTCATATTGATTGGCTGTGATAGATGCCAACATCTTCCACCGTTGGATCATTTACCTTTTCTTAAGAGTCTTGAGCTTTGCTGGTTAAGGAATTTGGAGCACATATCAGCAGAGGACAAGGTTAAGGACTTTGCCGGTGATGAGATGATGATGATGTCAGCTGCTTCTCCATCGACGACCTTCTTTCCCTCCTTAGAGAGTCTTCGTCTAATTCATTGCCCTAATCTCAAGGGATGGTGGAGGAATGAAACAGCTTCAGCTTCAGCTTCTTCATTTCCTTGTCTTTCTACTTTATCTATACGGAGTTGTCCTAACCTAACTTCCATGCCGCTATACCCACATCTTGATAAACTGATGTTAGAGAGAAGCAGCTGGAAGTTCCTTCCCTCCTCCTTTGTTCTCTCCAAATTAAAATTAAAATCTCTTCGGATTTGGAGCGTTGAGGATATAGAAGAAAGGATCGCCAACCTCACATTACTTCAGGAGTTTATAATTTATAATTGCCCTAATTTGGTATCACTACCAGAAGGGATCGGCAACCTCACATTACTCCAGCACCTCGAAATTAGTGATTGTCCTAAATTGGCATCACTGCCAGAAGGGATCGGCAACCTCACATTACTCCAGCACCTCGAAATTAGTGATTGTCCTAAATTGGCATCACTGCCAGAAGGGATCGGCAACCTCAAATCACTTTCCAATCTTCGAATTCGATGCTTCCCCAATCTGGCATCACTCCCAGAAGGGCTTCGATGCCTCATCTCCTTACAGGATCTGAAAATTTTTGATTGCCCGAAATTGGCTTCACTACCAGAAGGGATGGGCAACCTCAAATCACTAAAGTCGCTTTGGATATCGGATTGCCCTAATTTGGCATCACTCCCAGAAGGGCTTCGTTGCCTCTCCTCATTAAAAAGTTTGAACATTTGGAAATGTCCCATGTTAGCACAAAGATGCCAGAAAGGAACAGGTGAGGACTGGTCCAAGATTGCTCACATCCCAGACATTCGCATTAATCTAGAAGCTGGTGCGTTTTTCTAACTAATTTCTTTCTTTTGCATTGACACTTTCATTCAAATGGAAACCAACCTCAGCTTGTTCATTTTATTCTTTTTCAGCTGAATTTTACGATTTTTAAGGGTTGGGTCAGCGGAGATTGGGTCCCCACTAAAAACTCTTATGGCTTGATTGTGATTGTGCAACAGCAGGTCACCAAGAAAGTGGTATGTATGTATTAGATGATGAGCCCTTGATCCTAACATTGTTTTGTTGTTGGTATGTTTACATGATAATAACATTCGGTTTTGTTCTTATTTTTCTTTTATGGATATGCAGTGATTAAAAGAAGAAACTGATTAGGCATCCTGACTTTGATCATATAAGTGACTCAGTTGTACATGTGATGAATTTAGGTAATTCTAACTCTCAAATTTCGTTATGGCTTTTGAAATTGGTGTCTTTGAAAGACCTGTACCTTGAAAAGAACTTGGGTGCTAGTTAAGGAAAATCATGAATTTTTGTTTTTGTTTTTTGTTTTGGATAAAGGAGATTACTTTGAGAAATTATACAATAGTACCGTACTACCACGTGTATTGTATAATTTCTCCCATTTCTGACCCAATTTCAATAGTACCGTACTACCACGTGTTTACGCCTCTAAGGGGATGCATAAGCCTCGAAGAAAGGCGTACGCTGCTTTCGGTGACTTTCTCATAATTAGCTCCGCCTCGAGGCAAATTCCGACCGCCTCGCCAAGAGGCCCGCCACAAAGGGAACTGAGGGCGCGTTATTTAAAACATTGATACTTCTATCATGCTGCCATACGCTGCTTTTGGTGACTTTCTCATGATTAGCTGCACCTCGAGGCAAATTCCGACCGCCTCGCCAAGAGGCCCGCTACAAAGGGCACCGAGGGTGCGTTATTTAAAACATTGATACTTCTATCATGCTGCCTTCTGCTAGCATATATACCGAGTTTTGATATGCCCATGTTACATAATTGAATAATTCCTATTATTAGAGCCAAACATATTCATACCGAGTTTTACATGTGATGGATTTAGGTAATTTTATCTCTCAAATTTCCTTATGGGTTATGAAATTGGGGTCGTGTTCTGATAGTAGTTTATATTTTTTCATGATGGCTGATATTTATGAATGAAATTCAGATTGATATACCAGGAATGAAGTTAATTGTTCTTCGTTTCTTTGGTTATGTACATTGTTGGTAGGATGTCATACTATTTCTGTTGAATGTGGTCTTTGATGCTCATTTACCGCATCATCTTCTTTGCATGCATTATCATTTCCTGTGCGGGTTTATTCTTTGAATGCTTAAATGAGAGTTATCATTGGTTTTTGAACATGCAGTGTACCGAGATGGCTGGGTGGAGAGAGTAGTGCTTTGTCATCTTGGTATTGAAGATGTCAGACAGTGACACTAGATTCTACTCTCTATCAATTGGAAATTGAGTATTCCTTTAGTTTGGCATTACCTTCCAGAAGAGACAGACAACCTCACATAACTTCGATGGCTTTCAATTCAGAGTTCAGCATCACTGCCCGAATGGATTCGCGGCATCACTGTTTTAAGCCAGTTCGAAATTAGATACTATTCCTTTATACAGAAAAGCAAAAACAAAGAGGGCAGATTTTTCGGGTTTGTACATCTCTGTTTCTTAGTCCTTTTTTAAAGAAATCAATTCCCAGCTAACTCTCCCTTCTTCCTTGTCTTTTCAGGTCCCGTGTGAGAAATGAAGTTCCCTTGAACGGTGTCCATGAGGAGAATTGAAGTTCACTTGAACCGTATTCGTGAGCATAAATAAAATACTGAAACGAACATGACCCAGTGTTTTAAGCTTGGATGGCGTTATGGCTTCTGAAGAACTAGCAAAAGAATAATAGGTAACTACTTCATCATATGTAATTGTTTTAAAATTCCACGGATCAAACAAACATTTTTCAATTATCCAGTTCTGAAAAAAATTGTTCATATGGTAATAACATTGGTTTACTTTCAATCTAGTTACTTCCATAAATATGCAGTGGAGAGAAGAAGAAAAAGATGGAGGAATGAAAGCCAAGAGCCATCATTCAAATGTATGTTCCCTGTTAATGCACCTGGGTATTGATCATAAGATTGACTCGACCCTCGAGCTACTACATTTAGGCTTATATACACAAACAGATAGATGATGTTCCATTCTATATGATGTGCATGTGATTTTTGTTTCACATATTATATCCTTGATGTCTGGTTTGCGTGCGTTATCATTTTCTGTGTATCCTACACTTGCATAAACTTCATTCTAGTTCTATTAAGTTGATAATAACTTTTGTGGAACAGGGACCTTGTAAGAGTACAGGAAAATTGCAATGCCGGAAGAGCATGGTTCGAAGTATGCTCAAGTCTTGTTGGGCACTTACAGCAGTTGAGAGAGCTTCAGTATCCCAAGTGTGGTATCTTGTGCTGCAGTGTCGAGCAAAGTTCCTCCGTTCTGATTTCGTGTTTTTAAATTTAAATTTTGTTTTGTTTCGTTTCCTATTCTGAACCAGATTGGAACAGACTTAGAGTGCTCTTGTACTTGTAATCTTCTTATTCAATGAGTGAAAAACCTAGCAACCTCGTGGACGTAGCTCAATTATGAGTGAACCACGTAAAACTGTGGTGTTTGATTTGTGTGTGAATGTTTGTTTGTTCTTTTGATTATCGATCTCTGTTATCACCGAAGTGGTTTGAAAATTTATTCTCAATCCTTCATTTATAAAATCTAAATCATTTAATCACCCGGATGTCTCACAATCACCCAGCTGGAGGGACTGTGTTAGTTGTGTAAAGCAATGCTTACAAATTCTCCCAAAACTACAATTTGTTTCAGAACCTTCAATACTTGTCTGTATTTATAATATGGTATCACATCAACACAGAATGATCAAGGAAAATACACGGCCATAAATACATACATAAAATAAAAGAATCACCGAAAAGAATTAATACTAGCAAGTAATAAATGGGTGGAAATAATAATTAAAATCTAGTGGTTGAGGAGAGCAACCATGGACAAGAAAAACGGGAGGCAGAGGATCATAGCCCATGAGGCCACCACAGAGTGAGCTGCTCCTTTGTCTTGAGCCGGCGCGGGAGCGGGTGGAACATCAAAATCTTGGGCCGAAGACACGGCCGTAAAGAAAGCCACCACGGCAAAGGCAAAGACCAAGACCTTCATCTTCATGACAATGCTGCTCAAATGTGCCATTGCAAATCAAAGATTTAATTTGAATGAAGAAAAGAAAATCTTTTAGTTTTAGCTAGAGAGAACAAATAAAGAAGAGAGTTGGGGAAGGGGAGTGGGGCCCACACAGTGGAGAGAGAACATGGGTCAAGAGCTGGATTTATGGGGTGGCCACGTTGTGGTGTCACAAAAGCAGAAAACCAACTGCTTGAATTTGCTTTGATTTCCAATTTTGAAAGCCGTTGGTTCACCCACTCAGATATTTTCTTCCCACAATTGCCTTCTGCGTAAATCTTTGTTCTTCTTAGCTGACTAGTGAGACCATGCAGGTGAGGTCGGTGGTACTATTGGCCTAATGGGGGAAATGGAGTAGAATTTGCTCTCAAATCATGCGATGGTGTTTCATTTATTCAATTATATAGATGACAGGAGATTAAGAGCATTTATCTCTGTATCTGAGATCCTAAATTCGATTTCGAACCCAACCTCCTTAAAGCTAGCACTTCTATTAAAATAGATAATGCGTAAAACACATATATATGTAATATGGGACCATGATGCTCTGCATTTAGGTCCCGCATTTCGTTAAATTTAAATCACTCAAACAATATAACCACTTAACACATGACACGTCATCAAACTTTAAATGAGGTTTTTTTTTTTTCCTTCTAAAATTCACGTTAACATCATTGAGGTTTTTGACAGGCTTCCTCCTCTCGCGAGTGTGTTTCATCCAACGTGCTCTTCTCTTCTTCTTTTTTCTTTTTTTACTTTTTTTTTCTTCCTGGTTTGAGCTTTGTGGTTTCAATCAACTACCTTACTTCCAAATATTGTCCAACTTAGTCTCTCGTCTTAATAAAAACAGTAGTTCCAATAGTTTGTATTAAAGAAACTTTTGAATTAAAACTGCAATTCCAAATTACAATTGAAGAAACTGAGATCGATATCAAACCAGGTGAAGTGTTGACTTCTTTTGGATGTTATAATATGCAAGAGTTCAACCATCTTCCGATTGCTTACCACCAAAGATCATTCTCTATTGACCAAGTGAACTACAAAGAAAGCTAAAACCAGTAAGGAGTTCTAAAAAAATTGCTGGATGAAACACGCTCACTGAGAAAAGGAGGAAGCCCGTTAAAACAAACACTCAACATGTTAACGTGAGTTTTGGGGAGAAAAAAAATTGCAGAGCACTAATGTAAAAATAAATTCTTCACTGACAATAGTGAAAACAAGACAATATTCATCATGCTGACAGAGAACATTGTGTGAAAAGAAAAAAATTAAAGGGTCATGCTAGGGAGACCAACTTTATATACCAATTCGTGTACCATCTTTCTAATAGAGGTGGAGCTCACCAATACAATGAGTCCCACGCTCTATTAGAGAGATGGTACACAAGTTAGTATCTAAAGTTGGTCTCCCTAGCATATTAAATTCATTGGCCCCATTTTAATAGTTCACCTCACGCCCCAATAACCATAAATTGACAAATCAAAAGAAAAGAACAAGAGTCTCAATAATTATATACACACACCTACAATACAAAGATGAAGTCAGGAAAAAGCACCCATTTGAGGCTTTGGTAGGACCAAGCCAACCTCAATCCCACCCAATATGTCTCTACTCTCAGTGAGTGAAATACCCCATCCAAAATCTATCTCATAAAAATCCCACCTTAGGTGACCCGAAAACCCTAGCATGAAGCTCCGACCCAAACATCACCTCCCACTCCGATATCCACTTCTCTGCCCCTCCCAAAATTGCCTTGTGTAGCTTCTTAATAGTATTTCCAATTGCCCTTGCCGCAACAACAATTCAATTTTCCCCCAACAAGTCCTTCCTCACCTCCATTGACCGGCCAAACCCGACGCAATTACCAATATATGTAGGCGGTACT